AATCAGGGATCACATGATCGGGACCTCACACAGAGGTCCCGTACAGCAATTGGTGTTCCGCTGTGTCCTCCAGACATAGTGAGCACCAGATCACAGTGCCGCGTGCTCCCAGAGAGCACGCACAGGCAGTCAATGCAGGGGACGTTTATAAACGGCAACCCACTCCTGCACCGCTCCTGTCCGGCTGTTTATGTACATGGGCCGGACGGGAAGTGGTTAAAGCAGCCTTTGTTACCTATGGTTCTACCAAACCCAGGGTATCTCTGAGACAGGAAGTGAAGAAAAATCTCCCCAACCGGAAAACAAATACCAAAGAATAAACTGACATTGAGGGAGATTTACGAAAAACTGGAGCACTCAGAATCTGATGCAGCTGTGGTAGCCAATCAGCTTCTAACTTCCGCTTGTTCAATGAAGCGTTGACAATAAAACCTGGAAGCTGATTGGTTTATCTGCAGAGCTGCACCAGATTTTGCACTCTCCAGCTTTAGTAAATCCCCCCAGTGCGTCTTAACCATTCCCCACTTTATCCAAAACCGAAAAAAATATGTTATGACTACAAATACTTTAGGATTTATCTACCAAATAATTATTGAGCAGCTGCCATATATGTCTTTCTTTCTTTTTTCTTCATCTCTGTTGACCGCCATCTTTATCTAAGGCCAAATCTGCCTTCAGTATGTAATGGAAGAAAGAAGTGCCAAGTGGGCAGCACAGTGGCTAAATGGTTAGCACTTCCGCCTGACAGTACTCAGGTCATTGGTTTGAATCCCAAGCATGGCACCACCTGCCTGGAGTTTGCATGTTCTCCCTGTGCCTGCGTGGGTTTCCTCCGGGTACTCCGGTTTCCTCCCACACTCCAAAGACATGCTGGTAGGTGAATTGGCTCCTGTCTAAATTGTCCCTAGTATGTGTATGTATGAATGTGAGTTAGGGACCTTAGATTGTACACCCCTTGAGGGTTAGGGACTGATGTGAATGTACAATATATATGTAAAGCGCTGTGTAAACTGACGGCGCTATATAAGTACCTGAAATAAATAATAATAAATAAATTTCACGGGCTCACACAAATTTAGATTGTAAGCTCCACTAGCAGGGCTCTCATATTCCTTCTGTATGTATGAAATGTATTGTAATTGTACTGTTTTCCTTATATTGTAAAGCGCTGCACAAATTGTTGGGGTTATATAAATCCTGTATAATAATAATAATTTAAATTTTGACATGTTGGGTATCTATTTACTCGATGTGACCTTATCTTTTATATTTTACCAAAATGTGGGTAATTTATTGCGTTTGTTTGCCCTAAAATTCACTTTAGTGTTTTTACTGAAATGTTGCATTTCCTAGACCTCTGTGGTCATATCCTGTGACATAAAACATTGAAACTACCACTATTTTATTCTCGCTTTATTCTCTGTTTGTTTTCAGAAAATAGAACATGTTTGGGGGTTTTGCGTAATCGTCAGGCCTAAAATGATTTTTTAAATTTGTACAAAGAAAAAAAAAGCAAAAAATTGCTCTGACATTGAAAGGGTTAAATTTGATTTTAAAAAAATTGTGGCGGCCACATGTTTCCTGGCCACATGTTTCCTGTCGATCATGGAGCTGCAGTCTGCATCCAGACACCCTTTTGGAAATGCAGATGTGACAGGAATCATGTCTATTGGTTGTTTGTTACATTAAAGTATATATAAAAAAAAAAAAAAGTTGGAGTTGAGGTGACGTGTTTCCTGTCAAGTGGAGCTCCAGTGCAGCTATTGGTTGTTACATTAAAGTTCAATTTAAAAAAAAGTGAAGTGGAGGTCACATGTTTCCTGTTGAACGTGCAGCATTAAAGTTCCATTAAAAAAATTGAAGTTGAGGTCACATGTTTCCTGTCAAGTGGAGCTCCAGTCTGCAGCTATTGGTTGTTTGTTACATTAAAGTTCAATTTAAAAAAAAAAAGTGAAGTGGAGGTCACATGTTTCCTGTCGAGAGTGGAGCTCCAGGCTACAGCCAAACCTTCTTGTGATTGAAGAATATACAGAGTGGAGGAGAAGAGCGGAGAGAAGGTGTCATCCAGGTAACCTTTGCCGCACATTGGCCGCTGTGTGTACGGGATGTATGCTTAGTCTGTGTGCCCAGCTGTACTCCGATCAGAGGCGGGGGTCACCATTCATTCGGGGCACAGCATCCTGTGTGATGATTGGATGAGGAAGAGTCGGACCGAGGTGTGAGCAGATCCTGATCATTGCCCAGGAAGTGGCCTGTCTCCTCACTGTCATCGATCCCACCCTGAGATCGGTCATTATTATCACAATACTCCTGCACCCAAGGAGCTTACAATCTAAGGTCCCTGACTCCTACACATACTAGGGCCAGTGTGTCTGTCAGCCATGTGTGTAGAGTCCCACAGCGGACAACATACACACTCCATGCAGACAGTGTGCTGGTTGGGGTTGGTAGACTTGTCATAGGATGTGCAGACACAGGGATGTATCCTATACAGTGTATGGAAGAGGAATGGCTGAGCTCCCTCCCAATGTACTTCATTCTATTGGTACCCTATAGCAGTGCTTGTCAGTCGGGTCCCTGAGCTCAGGACACGGACCGCCCTCAGTCAGCACCATGAGGTGGGATGGTGTGCAGGCCAGCAGCATCTATGATGCTCTAGGGACAGGACACACACTGCTGATCGTTGCTATGGTGATGGTGGCCAGCTCACCCGTCTGACACCCGTATCCATGGCAGGTCGCATGTGGGGCCAGAGCCAGCAATCAGGAGAAGACGGAAGGCCACCTCTCACCCTCCGCCATGCTGCTGGAACCAAAAGGTAGACCTCTGATATGATTTGGGGGCTCTGTGATAGGGGGACCTATGATATGAAGAGGTGCCTCTGATGTGATGGGGGGGCTTCTGATGTGATACGAGGGGTCACCTCTGATGTGCGCTTGATTTCATCAAGGTAGTTGTGTGCATTGTCACAGACAGGTTTCCCATTCATACGTAACATTTACATTTTTTACATTTTACACTGGAGTGTCTTGAGATTTTGCAGTCTTTAAAGTGTCACTAAACCCACAACAGTAAAATCAGTCTGTATATGCAGTAAAGCATGCTTGTTATACTTGCTGTAGAACCCAAGGGGTTTGCATTGTATAAAAAGGCCGTTTGATCCTGCCTTCTCTGCTCCTCCTCTTGTTTAAATGTCCACGTCTTATCTCCTGATAAGACACACTGAACCATAGCATTCTGCACATGCTCAGTTTAGTGTGTATTGTTAGAGAGTTTTTTTTTTTTTTTTGTTATTTCTTCGGAGAGTGCATGTGATCAGCACAGGGCAAATCAGCACTGTCCAGACAGAGGTTAGGGGTTCTTCATCCTCCTAGAGCAGAAAGAAAACTCCTCCTACAAGCTTTAACCAGTGCTCTGGTTACTGTGGAATGACTGTTCCTTGATAAAGACATTTTTTTATCAAGTTTGTTATGGGGAAAATTCCACTTTAAAGTGAACCTTGCCTGTGAAGGGCCAAGCAACATATTCATTGTACAGCCCCTCTCCCTGCTTGTTTCACATGGGCTTCAGTTTCTATATGAGCACTGTCAACAGCATTGGCCCCTACCCGGAAATGCAAAATCGTGTGTGTGTGTGTGTGTGTGTGTGTGTGTGTGTGTGATTTTGCACACCCGTGCCGCCTTGTATCAGTATTTCTGCTATAGAGCGGTTGGGAAATGGTTATAGAAAATAATCCAGTCCCTACAGTCAAACATGGTGGAGGTTCACTGATGTTTTGGGGTTGCTTTGCTGCTTCACACACTGGATGTCTTCATCGTGTGCATGGCATTATGAAATCTGAAGACTACCAAATAATTCTGGGGTGCAATGTAGGGCCCAGTGTCAGAAAGTTGGGTCTCTGTCAGGGATCATGGGTCTTACAGCAGGACAATGACCCAGAGGACACGTCAAAAAGCACTCAGAAATGGTATCAGACACAATGTTGGAGAGCACTGAACTGGCCAGCAATGAGTCCAGATCTAAATCCCATAGAGCACCTGTGGAGAGATCTTAAAACGGCAGTTGAGAAAAGGAACCCTTCCAGTCTGAGAGACCTGGAGTAGTTGGAGAAAGAAGAGTGGTTCAAAATTCCAGTAGAGAGGTGTAAGAAACCCATTGATGGCTACAGGAAGCGATTGATTTCAGTTATTTTTTCCAAGGGGTGTGCTACCAAATATTAAATTGAGGTGTCAGTAATTTTGTCCAGTCCCCCATATTTGTGTTTTTGGGTGGAATGTGTCAGATTTGGCTTTTTGTTTCTGCACTTTTTTTGTGTTATATCAATACAAACAAAAGAAATAAACATGAGAATGCCTAAACATTCTCCAGGAGCCGGGCCCTCCTATTCCTTCTGTACTGAAATGTATTGTAATTGTACTGTCTCCCTTTATATTGTAAAGTGCTGAGCAAACTGTTGGCACTATATAAATCCTGTATAATAATAATAAATGCAGCAATTTTCTGGGCGAAGAGGTGCATTATCTAACAGAAATGCAGGGTTGCCAATATTTTTAGCCATGACTGTACTTACATTCCTGGCGGCCTATTTCCTGACATACCGCTTCTGTTCTGCAAGTATTTGAGGAGCTGGATGGGTCGTATACTGATTACCCCCCCCCCCCCGTTGTACTCAGTGGTTGCACCCTGTACCAACATATATTTTTGTGGGAGAAACCACAACGTACAGGGGGGGAGGGGGGCAGGTATTTTACATACCCAGAAGTATGCAATACTTTCAGTAGTCAAGGAGAAGGCAGCATGTCAATAAATAGTAGGTATATTACTTCTGTTATATGTATATTTCCCCACACAAAGTGATCCTTTGCTAACTGCACTGCAAGTCACATAAGTATGCTTAGTAAATCCCTGCAGATGTAGCTCTTGTCCATTGATACTTCTTCATTGGTAGGTTTTACATTGAGAGAAGCCTAAAACTTCTTGTTTATTCAACTCAGGTAAACATGGCAGACCTGTGGCAGGAATGTATGGATCTTGCTGTTCAAGTAGCCAAGAATGCTGGTGCAGTATGTATCTCTACAAAGACATTTTTCTCTATATGTCAAGATGAGCAAGAACATTTTCCTTTTGAATATTACATGAAATGTGGAAGAAGTTTCTAAAGTAATTCTGAGTACAGTTTATAAGTCATATAAATGAAATCAGATCATTATGAAGGATTAAGGTGTATGAGAACCATTATGAAGGATTCTGTAGGCAACAAAGAGACTGAACCAAGAAATGTATAAGCTTTTATGTGCAGCGCCCTCCCAACAGTGTTTTAATTGCATTGCCTCTCTTTTTATTTTGTAAGACTTGTGCAATCTGTTGGCGATTTATAAATCCTGTATAATATAGGTGCATTGTTGGCCACCTTTTTGAAAATGCTAGTTGCCTGACTGTCTTGCTGAACTTCTGGCTTTAATACCAATCCAGAATATAGTTAGAACCGCTTATCTACATATTTGTTTCATGCTATAAAACACCTCCTCTTAGGTTATGTAGAAAGCAGATCTATAGTTCAAAAACACATCCTGTCCTAGGGTGACAACACATAGATACAATATGCTGAGCAAGTGTTTGTTAAAAGAAAGGAAGCAGGAGGCGCCCATCTAAGTGCAGCAGATAAAAACTGTATTTAACCACTTCTAGTCCGGACACTTTAACCCTCTTCCTGTCCAGGCCAGTTTTCAGCTTTCAGCACTATCACACTTTGAATGACAATTGCGCGGTCATGCAACACTGTGCCCATATGAATTTTTTAGCATTTTTTTGAGACAGATAAAGCTTTATTTTGGTAATATTTATTTACCATTGGGATTTTTATTTTTTTTTTTTTGCTATGTAAATAAAAAGTCCGAAAATTAAAAAAAAGTGTTTTTCTTATAACATTTTGCAAATAAATAATATTTTCATCAGTTTAAATCTTGGCCAAAAATTATTTCAGTTTATCTTTTTAGTAAAAAAAAAACCCAAATTAGTTTATAACCAAAAATTATTATAATTAAAAAACTTTTTTTACATTTTTATTTTTTTTTTTATATTATTTTATGTTTTTTTTTTCTCTACAATACTGACACTTTAGCAGTACAGTGTCACCATAGTGACACTGCACTACTTGTGGGGGGGTGATGAAGACCGTTCCGGCCGTTTTTTTTTTTTTTTACATCTGATTACTTTTACACCCATGAAGGCTGTAGTAGTAAGAAAAGCAATCATTTCTCCTTCTCTCTGGCTTCATTCTTGCAGCCATTGAGCAGGAAATACTGTGTGAGCTGTGATTGGTCACAGCTTGTCACATGGTACAAGGCTGTTGTGAATAGCTGCGTGGATCGGCCATACAACACCATCACATTACAGGGATTGACCCTTACTGTGCCACATCTAAGGACTGGTAACCTGCACTATATTACTTTTTTGTTCTTGGATTTCGATATGTTTTAGAGTGAACTGAACAAGCAGGAAAAGCACTGCTAAACAAGGCCTTGTTACCAATCCTTAGATGTGGCAGCTGCCTCATCTGTTTTCTTTTTGACTGGCTGTTTTTCCACCTATTAATTCTGCAAGAAAAAACACTTCCTGTCCTAGGGCGACAACACTCAATCAGTAAAGAGGTGATTCTGGCGCACAGAGATGAAGTTATATATGACAACAACAAATGTATATTAACTAATGCAGGAGATGGTTATAATGACATAAAACACTGAAATAAATGTATAAAATTCATAAGTGCACAAGTAGTCTATTAAAAGTCGCTCGGGCAATCAGCCCAAATTAGCGGCAGCCATCTGTGTGCATTATGGGGAAATTCGTCTTCAAATTTTACAACAGAAGCTCTGAAGTCTTAGTTTTGTCCTACTTTCTGGTGCAACAGACTTTTGGCAGTCTTCCAGCCTTTTAATGTAAACACAGCAGGTGTTTCTAAGCAGTGAGAAACAGGATAGAACCAGGCTTTAGAGCAGTGATCATCCACTTAAAAAAAACAAAAAAGAGGCCTTCTACATTTTGTAAGTGGTGGTAATTTTTTTTTTTTTTTTATTTTAAATTGCTGACAGGATATTTATGACAGAAGAGACCTTATCGGGCTCTTCTGTCATAAATGCTTCCTCCTGTCTGTCAGCCATCATGTACACTGAGCCGCGCATGCACAGCCCAGTGAACTTTACAGCTCCGATCTGTGCTGCTGCAATGTGACCCCATGTGCGGAGGTGATGTCATCGCAGCCCAGCCATTCAATCGGCTGAAGGCATAGAACCCAGAAGGAAGTCCAAGCGAAGATGGAAGCACAGGGAATCCGCCAGATCGATCGCAGTGCTGGAGGGCTCAGTTTGACAGGTAAGTGTGCCATAATGTGCTACTATGCTGTGCATACTAGTACATTATGGCATATCCCACCTGGGGGCCCCTAAAAGAAGAAATAATAGCAGAGTTTACTACCGCTTTAATACAGAATACTAGCATTGACTGAAGACCTACTAAAGGGAATGGTCACAGACTGTGATTGCAGACTGAAGTCATGCTGTAAGAGGAAGACATTGACCAGGGATGTTGCATGACACTGCTAGAGAATAGTTTTATTAAAGGCCCTTTTACCTATCCATGCTTCCACTTCTGATGGGGGCATACATGGCCCTCTGGCTGCAGGTTGGGACCAGGGATTTAGAGTCTTTGTTGTGACCTTTGTTCATAGTCCATGCACAGGTGCACTTTATATCTGTAATACCCCTTGCATAGGTAAATCAGTGCCTCTCAGCTTACTAGTATAGAATATCTTCACCATGGGTGAATAGGTGACCTTCCTAATGTACGCTCTGCGTTGGCAGGTGGTATGTGCAGCACTGAAGGAGGAGGTGTCGGTGATGATGAAGAGCTCCCCGGCAGATCTGGTGACAGCCACTGATCAGAAGGTAGAAGAGATGATTATCTCATGCATCAAGGAGAAATATCCAACTCACAGGCAAGGCTACAATATATTATACACCTTGCTGAATGCCATTTGGGTGTCTGTATTGTTCTGAGCAATGCTATGTACAAAGGCTGACCAATCTCATTGCACACAACTCTAACTTTGTGACCCCCTGTTTCAGCTTTATTGGTGAAGAGTCTGTAGCAGCCGGTCAGAAAAGCATACTGACTGATAACCCAACGTGGATTATTGACCCTATCGATGGCACCACTAACTTTGTACACAGTAGAGTTTTTTTTTTTTTTTTTTTTTTTTGTTTGATTCAACAATGGCTTCCAGAAAGCAATGCTTCTGCGGCATGAAAATGTATCTGCATAAGTGATTTTGATATGATTGTTCGAAATCTGTTACAGCAATGTGGTTTTTATCAGTGAAAACAGCAATTTTATTCAATAGTTTTGACAACTGAAGAACCAAAACTAAGTTTGCTACTAAACTAGTCACAAAATGTAGCAATTAGAAAAATGACAGCACTTCTCTATGCCAAAAAAAAAAATATTTTTTGTTTCCATTTCTTCGACTGCCAGGTAAATGCACAATCTTTTTATATTTTCTCATTTTCTGTTCCTACATGTGACAGCTTCTCCTCAAGCTGATATAGTTCAAATGACACTGTTGTTTCCCCTAAAAATAGTAGTAGTTCCCTGTATAGAAGTTTTATTCTAACTCTACAGCAGCCCATGTCTCCTATCTTCTCTCTGTTGAAGTTCTGCAGCCCCCCATCAGAATCATCAGCATTTAACACTTTTGGGGTGTCTTGTATTCCTCATCCCCTGCAGTATGCTGTGGTTTCATCCTCCTGCCCCTACTTTACTACCGGACACCTTAGTGACATAGTGGTCAGCAGATGGAACCAGATTTGTGTGGCAGGGGATCAGGAATCTGACACATCCGGAAGTGTTGAAAGCTCAAAAGCTGTAGAACTTTAGTAGAGAGAAGATGGGAAACCTGAACTGCCTGACAGGCAAGCAATAATACCATTTCTATTACAGTGTACTACTTGGAGGGATTTTTTTGGAGCGATCAGTTGCTTTATTCAGTCTGAACTAGAATAAAAAAAGTTCCTTTCTTTCCAGCCCTTTTTTTTTTTTTTTTTTTTTTTCAGGTTTACCCCAATGCTGTCTATAAAGCATGCTGATCAGAGAACTCTTGGAAGCTCTATTGATGTAAACCAAGGCTGCTGTTATCACTTTAAACTGATTAAAACTATAGTGGAGTGTTGTTCCGTGTTGGCCATCAATTAATGCAAAAAGTTTGGAGTGGCAGGCCTTGTGTACACTGGCCTTTGGGGGTCAGTAAAACCCTGTGACTGAGCTGCATTTTACCACCCCTCATCTGCTCTCCATTTTAGCTGGCAAGGCAGCAGCTGGGAGTGTGCAAAGCAGGAATTACACACTTCCGCCCACAACTTATTCAAGTGGACGGGGCCACACTGCAACCACCCTGCAACACTCATGTAGTTGTAGTTCAGTAGTCTGGCATTTAGGGGGCTAAAACCAGTGATGAGTTAGCGATACAATACCTCCTCACCCGTCAAATGCTACACTGAAATCCCAAGCAATGTTACCAGCCCTATCGGGTTTCTTTTCTGCTGGAGTGAAGGACACCTGCCCCTATTATTATCCCAATAGTATACGGGAGATGTGTTCTGTAATTCAAAAAAGGAGAACCTGGGCAAGGCTGCTGGGGATTTCACTGCAGCAGAGACTGCAGTTAAAAGAAGTCACCACTGGAAGTTAAAAGAACACTGGAATTCTGGCAGGATCAACAGGTATTTTTCTGTACTGTTTTTTGAAAGGGATAATCCATAGGGAATGTGCTTGTATTGCAGAGATGTACCGAAGGTTTCTTTTTATTTTGGTCAGGCATAGCCTTTAAAGTCTATATCCACCTTTTTTATTAGTACTGATTGGATGCTGTGGAGCAGAAGCATGTCCTAGCTGATGATTTTTAGACTCTACTCGGCTGAATGTAATGAATAGAGGAATACCCATGACACCACAGACATAAGTTGCTTGGTGGAGTATCAAAATATAGGCAGTCAGCAGGTTGTTCAACCTTCCAGCCTCAAGCCATTACTGAACAATCCGTTCTGGATTGACAATTCCAGTATAATTTAGTACAGAAGGGCTAGGAGGGCCCTGCTCATAAGAATTTACTGTCTAAATCCTATTATCTCATTTGTCTGCGTAGGTTTCCATTTGTGGCAATCTCCATTGGATTTGCTGTGAATAAGCAGGTAGGTTGAACTCACAACTTACTGTATATTGATTTATAGTTGCAATGTTATGTGTAGCTGACAATTGAAGAATTACTGTACATGAATCACTGTTTGTGACTCAAAGTCTGGGCTAGCTGTCAAATTTGAAAAAACAAGGCTAGGTGTCCAATTTGAAAAAACATGGCCGTATGGGGCTCCGTCCAGGCGCTGCATTCATTCACAGTCTTAGCGGCTTATACTTCTCAATTAACTACCATGGCGCTGTGGAGCGCCATGGTAGTTCGTTCATTCTTCCTATCAATATATATGCTTGCTTGCACATCCCGTAGACCTGCGTGGCACCAGCAGTTTGCTGATTGCTGCATAATGCTTTACAAGCTCCTGAAGACAAAAATAATAAATGCACTTTTTTTTTTTTTTTGTTTTTTTGTTTACTAAAATGTGAACTTCTATCTTTTACAAAAAATATGTCCAATGTAAACCTGTGGTTATTACTAGAGATGAGCGAATTATTCAAAAATTCGATTCGACTGATTCGGCGAATTCGTGAAAAAAATTTTGATTCGAGTCGAATATATTCGCTGCGAATTTAACTTATAAAAGGGTGTTTTCTAGGCTTCAGAGAGCCTTTATATTAGTGCAGAACACTGTACCTTTAATTTAAATGCCCTTGGAGTCTGCTGGGGAAGAGAAATAATACTGTCAGTCAGTATGACATGCAGATGAGTGCCGTCGATCTTAGAATCACCGCACACTTCACTCATTTGGGCAGTCACAGGGCCAAAACCAGAGTGTGGAGCCACAGTGTGGCGGTGGAGGCAGCAGCAATGGGAGGCCATACAGCACCCTATGACAAAATGGAACCACCAGCAGTGTGAGGAGACCTGAAAGTGGCACATGGCAGAGTGTGGCGATGGAGACAGCAGCAATGGGAGGCGGTACAGGGACCCATGACACACTCTGGACCTGGCAGCAGCATGAGGAGGCGATACAGGGGCCCATGACAGATTACGGGCCTGGCAGCAGCAGCATGAGGAGTTGGTACGGGGGCCCATGGCAGATTACGGGCCTGGCAGCAGCAATGGGAGGCCGTACAGGGACCCATGACACACTCTGGACCTGGCAGCAGCATGAGGAGGCGGTACAGGGGCCCATGACAGATTACGGGCCTGGCAGCAGCATGAGGAGTCGGTACGGGGGCCCATGACACACTCTGGACCTGGCAGCAGCATGAGGAGGCGGTACAGGGGCGCATGACAGATTACGAGCCTGGCAGCAGCAACTTGGACAGGAGGACGTTCAGTTTCTGCACCGTCGGGTGCGTACTCGCAAAACTGTTGTCTCTTGGAAACGGATTCCAAGAAAGACTGCTGACGGAATCCGTTGAAGAGGAGTAGCATGGGAGAAGGAGCATCTGAACGAGCGGAATATGCCAACAAGCAACAACAGGGGCCCATGACAGATTACGGGCCTGGCAGCAGCATGAGGAGTCGGTACGGGGGCCCATGGCAGATTACGGGCCTGGCAGCAGCAATGGGAGGCCATACAGCCCCTATGACAAAATGGAAACCCACCAGCAGTGTGAGGAGACCTGAAAGTGGCACATGCAGAGTGTGGCGATGGAGACAGCAGCAATGGGAGGCGGTACAGGGACCCATGAGACACTGTGGACCTGACAGCAGCATGAGGAGGCGGTACAGGGGCCCATGGCAGACTAAGGCCTGGCAGCAGCAATGGGAGGCCCGTAATCTGCCAGCACCCTATGACAAAATGGAACCCTGGGCTGGGGCAGGCAGAACCGCCGTATCTTTATCACGGTTTTCCCAGGCCACCGAATGGCTGCATATGCTGACGCAACGCTGTAGTCCCAAACATGGGCCCCTGGCCACGCTTGACTTTCTGGCCACATAGTCGACATACGGCTACGTTTACTTCCTCGGGCGGCTTGACGAAAAATTGCCACAAACCGCTGAGTAGGAAACTTTGCCCCCGCTATCCTCACTGGCTGACTGCTACTTCCTCTGTGCACACCGGCACCACTACTGGCCGTGTGGTGGTAGGCTGCAGTGGAGCTGGTGCTCTACTCCGTGGCCGTTTGTCTCCATGACACTGCTGCGACCTGCTGCCTCCTGGCAGCAGCAATGGGGAGGAGGAGGCGTTGGTACAGGGGCCCATGGCAGATTAGGGGCCTGGCAGCAGCAATGGGAGGCCCGTAATCTGCCAGCACCTATGACAAAAAAATGGAACACACCAGCAGTGTGTGAGGAGACCTGAAAGTGGCACATGGCATGACACATGTGTGACCTGGCAGCTGCATGAAGGAGGCGGTACAGGGGCCCATGGCAGATTAGGGGCCTGGCAGCAGCAATGGGAGGCCGTAATTGCCATCACCGGGCTATGACAAAAAATGGAACACACCAGCAGTGTGTAATCGTGGCACATGGCAGAGTGTGGCGATGGAGACAGCAGCAATGGGAGGCCGTACAGGGACCCATGAGACACTGTGGACCTGGCAGCAGCATGAGGAGGCGGTACAGGGGCCCATGGCAGATTAGGGGCTCCTGGCAGCAGCAATGGTAGGCCCCGTAATTGCCAGCACCCTATGACAAAATGGAACACACCAGCAGTGTGAGGAGACCTGAAGTGGCACCCATGGCATGACACACTGTGGACCTGGCAGCAGCATGAGGAGGCGGTTACAGGGGCCCATGGCAGATTAGGGGCCTGGCAGCAGCAATGGGAGGCCCGTAATCTGCCAGCCCTATGACAAAAAAATGGAAACACCAAAGTGAACACACCAGCAGCACATGGACAGAGTGAGGAGACCCTGGAAAGTGGCACCATGGCAGAGTGTGGCAGATGGGTAGCAGCTATGGGAGGCCCGTACAGGGCATGAGAGGACTCTGGACCTGGGGGGTGGGGGCGGGGGCCCAAGGGGAACAGCAGCTTGAGGAGTTGGTACAGGGGCCCACGGCAGTATTACGGGCTGGCAGCCAGCAATGGGAGGCCCGTAATCTGCCAGCACCCTATGACAAAAAAATGGAACACACCAGCAGTGTGTGAGGAGACGCTGAAAGTGGCACATGCGGCAGAGTGTGGCGATGGAGACAGCAGCAATGGGAGGCCGTTACAGGGACCCATGAGAGACTCTGGACTCTGGACCATGGCAGCAGCATGAGGAGGCGGGAGGTACAGGGGCCCATGGCAGATTACAGGCCTGGCAGCAGCAATGGGAGGCCCTGTAATCTGCCAGCACCCTATGACAAAAAATGGACACACCAGCAGTGTGTGAGGAGACCTGAAAGTGGCACATGGCAGAGTGTGGCGATGGAGACAGCAGCAATGGGAGGCCGTACAGGGACCCATGAGAGACTCTGGACCTGGCAGCAGCATGAGGAGGCGGTACAGGGCCCCACGGCAGATTAACGGGCCTGCAGCAGCAATGGGACGTAATCTGCCAGCACCCTATGGACAAAAAATGGACACACACAGCAGTGTGTGAGGAGGACCTGAAAAGTGGCACATGGCAGAGTGTTGGCGATGGAGACAGCAGCAATGGGAGGCCGTACAGGGACCCATGAGGAGACTCTGGACCTGGCAGCAATGCATGAGGAGGCATGAGGAGGGTACAGGCCACGGCAGATTACGGGCCTGGCAGCAGCAATGGGAGGCCCGTAATCTGCCAGCATGACAAAAAATGGAACACACCAGCAGTGTGAGGAGACCTGAAAGTGGCACATGTTTGGGGCATGATTCATGGCGGATTAGTCAGTTGTGTCAACTGGTGGTTTGAAATCAGACTAATCCACGCCTGATTCATTTTCACAAACGTGAGTCTCTCAACACTTTGGGTGGACAGTCGTGTCCTCCGCGGAGTTACAATACCTCCTGCCGCACTAATCACGCGCTCGATGCCACGCTACTGGCCGGGCATGACAGCCTTTCAAGGGCAAATTCCAGCTAGTGGGGCCAAAGGTCAAGTTTCGTTGCCCAGTAGTCAAGGGGATTGTCTACCTCGGTTGGCAGGGTGCTGTCCAAGTAGGCCCAAGCTGTTGTTTGAGGTCCTGCAGGTCCACCCTGATGCTGCTGCTGCTGCGGCTGGTTTAGTAGTTTCCTCACTGCGCTGGTGAAGAAAGTACTCATCATCGACTGCAGACTGAGGCAGCCGCTGCTCGGTGGAGCTGCCACTGCTCCTACCACCCCACCCTTCCCCTGCTGCCATGCGGCAGCGGAAGCGAGCGCACAGGGCCCACAGTGTCTGAGGATGGACGTTGGCGCAGACAGGCAGAGACCAGCTGACTACATAGGTGGTTTTTATAGTACTGTTATTTTGCCTCCTCTCAGCAGGTGTGAAAAAGGCCACCATTTTTGAACGGTAGCGAGGGTCCAACAAGGTGGACAGCCAAAAGTCATCCCTCTGTCTGATGGTTATTATTCAGCTGTCGCTACGCAAGCAAGCGAGCATGCTGATGGGCCATTTGTACCAAGGAATGCGAGGGACTCCCTTGCCTCCATCTCCACAGCATACTGCCACGGGTGCGTCTGGGTCACTGTTCCTCCTCTACCAGATTCCTGCTCCTCCACCAGATGCTCCTGCTCCTCCACTCCTGTCCGCTGAGTGGAAAAAACCACCCATTTCACTCAATAATTCCTGAGTGTCCTCCTCTACCTCCTCCTCTTCTTCTGTCTGGCCTGCCCACAGGGGTCATCTTGAGATCTGTGCGCCACGTCTACACACCCTGAACAGCCATTGTTAACAGCATTTGTTACGTGCAAACAGAGGAATGACGTCGTTCATCCCATAGTCCTCAAAGGGCCTGAGCAAGCGGCAGGTGTCACGCATGAGCTGCCATGGCTGACATCGATGTTACACAGGGGAGTACCTTTATCCGCTTGTAACATCAGGAAATCGTGTTGGCCTTTCGCTGTTCTTTAAGGCGGTCTAACATGTGTAGGGTTGAATTCCACCTTGTTCAACGTCGCAGATTAAGGCGAGTGCTGTGGAATTCCGTTCTGCCGCTGCTGCTCAACGGTGTAGGAATGGCTGAAATGCATGCAAAGTTTACGTGACATTTTAAGGATGTCTTGCAGTGGGATGGTGGATTTTAGGAAACCGCTTGACAACCAGATTGAACACGTGTGAGCCATGCATGGCGCATGGCACAACCTTTCCTTGACGCAGAGCAGACACCATGTTTCTTTCCGTTGTCGGTTCAACCTGGTTACCGATTTTCAGTTTGCGCGGGGAGGGGGGGGGGAGACAGCCATCTGTCGATTTCTCTGTTCTTTACACTGAGAAGTTCCTCCCCTGTGTGACTACGTTCGCCAAGGCATACCAGGTGCAGCACAGCGTGACACCGTTGCGCCCTGCACATGTGATATGCCGGTCGGGGTGGGGCGGGTGGGTAATGGGACTTGGGCACGGGGGTGGCGGCTGAGGACACGGCGGAAGAAGAGGTGGTAGAGGCGGACATCTTTTGTGGACCAAGGACGTGCAAACGTGGAGGCAAAGCGGCGTGACCTGTCCAAGTTGCTGGTGCGGCTGTGCCGGCACCCACGTTCACCCAGTGGGCCGTAAATGACATGTACTGTCCTTGACCGTAGTTACAGCTCCACACGTCGGCACTTGCCGTGCACTTTGGCAGAGACCGACATGCTCAAAGACTGGCCCACCATCTCTTCTACATGTGAATGCAGGGCTGGCACTGCCTTTTTGGCGAAGAAATGACGGCTTGGCACTCTCACCGCGGCGCGGCACAAGCCATCATTTCTCGGAAAGGTGCTGAGTCCACCACTTGGAAAGGGAGGGACTGCAGCACCAGCAACTTGGACAGGAGGACGTTCAGCTTTTGCACCGTCGTGGGTGCGTGCTCACAAACTGTTGTCTCTTGAAACGGATTCCAAGAAAGACTGCTGACGGAATCCGTGAAGAGGAGTAGCAGGAGAAGGAGCATCTGAACGAGCGGAAGATGCCAACGAGCGACAACTCCCCTCAGCAGAGGTGTTGGAGCCTTGACTGGCTGATAGAGGGCGATTGACGTCGGGTGACGGAGCAAGTAACGGAGCGGGTGATGGAGCGGGGGCTGGGGCAGGCAGAACCGCCGTATCTTTATCACGGTTTTCCCAGGCCAACCAAATGGCGACGCTGCATATGCTGCCGCAACGCTGTAGTCCCAACATGGGCCCCCTGGCCACGCTGACTTTCTGGCCACATAGTCGACATAACGGCTACGATTTTACTTCCTCGGGCGCTTGACGAAAAATTGCCACACCGCCGAGTAGGAAACTTTGCCCCGATACTCCTCACTGGCTGACTGCTACTTCCTCCGTGCACACCGGCACCCACTACTGGCGTGGTGGTAGGCTTGCAGTGGAGCTGGTGCTCTACTCCGTGGCCGTTTGCCTCCACTGACACTTGTGCGACCCTGCTGCCTCCTGGGCAAGCCCACCGACTGTTTTGCTCGCTGCAAGCTGCCACCCTCTTCTCTGATGATGCGGAAGCAATAGCCTGATGACGACGGGGCTGCCAAGTGCGATCAGCCTCATCATCAATTAGGGTCTCCGCCTCACTACTAGCCCCCTCGGCTCCGTGTTGGTCAGAGACAGACCTGTCTCTAGACCGGCTACCGAGCCACTCTCCTCGCCACTACTTCTTCGCCTGGCTGCTGAAGAGGCGGATGTCTCCCCCCGTTCCTGACCGCCCTCTGTTAGCTCTTCCTCACTGTATCAGTGGGGCTGAGCCCACAGCATGCGATACTTCGCTTGGTGAGGGAACACCAAAGGACAGGGGCAGGTCGAGGACACGTGATTTCAGTGGGCTTGCTCCCGGGCCATGCCAACTAACGGTTGTGTCTGACGTACCCACCGACCGTTGGCTGTAGGTGTCAGAGGTGACCTGGGAAGAGGAAGACGACCGAGCCAACCAATCGATGACGGCAGGGTTGTCGGTGGAGACACGGACCGCTGGATGACACCGGGAGCAATGGCCTCGCTGCGACTAGTGCTGCCTCGACCCCTTCCTCTGCTGCCACGTCTGCTCGCTCCTAAAACATTGCCTCCTCTGCCACTCCTCTGCATGTTGTCTGACATACTCTTTAATTCAACGATTATGTGTCCCTGAGTAACAATTCTGTGTCTGTCCCTGAGTAACAATTCTGTGTCCCTGAGTAACAATTCTGTGTCCCTGAGTAACAATTCTGTGTCCCTGAGTAACAATTCTGTGTCCCTGAGTAACAATTCTGTGTCCCTGAGTAACAATTCTGTGTCCCTCAGTAACAATTCTGTGTCCCTCAGTAACACTTCTGTGTCCCTCAGTAACACTTCTGTGTCCCTCAGTAACACTTCTGTGTCCCTCAGTAACACTTCTGTGTCCCTCAGTAACACTTCTGTGTCCCTCAGTAACAATTCTGTGTCCCTCAGTAACAATTCTGTGTCCCTCAGTAACAATTCTGTGTCTGTCCCTGAGCAACAATTCTGTGTCTGTCCCTGAGTAACAATTGTGTGTCCCTCAGTAACAATTGTGTGTCTGTCCCTGAGTAACAATTGTGTGTCCGTCCCTGAGTAACAATTGTGTGTCCCTCAGTAACAATTCTGTGTCCCTCAGTAACAATTCTGTGTCCGAGTAACAATTCTGTGTCCCTCAGTAACAATTCTGTGTCTGTCCCTCAGTAACAATTCTGTGTCTGTCCCTCAGTAACAATTCTGTGTCCCTCAGTAACAATTCTGTGTCTGTCCCTCAGTAACAATTCTGTGTCCCTGAGTAACAATTCTGTGTCCCTGAGTAACAATTCTGTGTCCCTCAGTAACAATTCTGTGTCCCTCAGTAACAATTCTGTGTCCCTCAGTAACAATTCTGTGTCCCTCAGTAACAATTCTGTGTCTGTCCCACAGTAACAATTCTGTGTCTGTCCCTCAGTAACAATTCTGTGTCTGTCCCTCAGTAACAATTCTGTGTCTGTCCCTCAGTAACAATTCTGTGTCTGTCCCTCAGTAACAATTCTGTGTCTGTCCCTCAGTAACAATTCTGTGTCTGTCCCTGAGTAACAATTCTGTGTCTGTCCCTGAGTAACAATTCTGTGTCTGTCCCTGAGTAACAATTCTGTGTCTGTCCCTGAGTAACGATTCTGTGGCCCTAAGTAACGTTTCTGTGGCCCTAACTCTCTCTCTCCCTCAATACAGACAGGTCTGCCTCTGTTGAATGACTGGAGGCAAATGGAGAATTCTAAAATGGACGCAATTTATAGCTCGACCATTACACAGTGCTGGCTGGCTGGCTGCTGATTGGCTAATGCGATCACATGTCATGAATGAATGCATTATGGGTCAGCGCGCCTTGTCTGCGCGCCTTCCCAGACATCCCCGCTCCGTCGCCGCACATGTCGCCGCCATTTTAGGAAAAATTTCGATTCGCGCATCCGAAGTATGCTAATTTTCGGATTCGTCGCGAATCAAAATTTTCCTAATATTCGAAACGAATTCCACTTCGCCTAGTTCGATTCGCTCATCTCTAGTTATTACCACGTGGCTGTGTAATTTGACTTCAAGGAGTAATGTTTAATGTTCATTGTTAAGCAGTGTATGTTTTTTGTTGTATTGCACACCAATTTCATTATTGCTTATACCCATCTGCGTGGGTGATCTGTTTGTATTACCTCCTTATTTGGAAAACAAATATGATTGCACTGTTTAATTGGACAACTATGTGGCAAGTGAGGTTTAATGTTGATAAATGTAAGGTTAAGCACTTGGGGGCTAAGAATATGCATGCATCATACATACTAGGGGGAGAACAACTGGGGGAATCAATGGTGGAGAAGGATCTGGGAGTTCTGGAAGGTCACAAGCTTAATAATGGCATGCAATGCCAAGCTGCAGTTTCTAAAGCGAGCAAAATCCTCTCTTGTATTAACTTGAGGACGTTCACTGTTTGTTTTTGTTTTTTGTTTTTTTTGTTTTTTCTGGAGAAATTTCAGATTTAAGTTAAATCTTTAAGGGTATTGCTTAGATGTTTCCTCTAAGATAGCAAACCTTCACTATTTGTGTTCAGGTCCAATTTAAATTAAAGTTAAAATGATGTACTTTCCAGTTTTGGCATAGTTACATATTTGCTGGATAGTTCTAAGACCACTCCTGGGGCCTGATGATGTGATGTTAGGAATATGGTGGTAGCGCACAAAGCTGCTGAGATCCAAGAATAGGTAAACCTATTGAACACAGCTGATGCAATCCAAACACACAGCCAGAACTAGTAATTTACTTGACTTTTTTTTGGTTGAACTAAAATAATTCCTCATTCACTACAGCCATTTTTAGCTAACTGCTAACCATAATTATACCTCATACATACTGGTCTCTGTGTTTAATATATTGCTGTGATTCTTTGACCTGTATCTAATTTAAGTTCTTTTTTTTTTTTTTTTTTTTTTTCTTTTTGCATACATTTCTATAAATCTATTGTGAGCACTATTTTGTAACTTTTTCTAGACTTTAGATGGAATTTCTTTTTATGTTTGCTGGAAACGGACAAACACATACTGACTTACAGTATATAGTAGACCCGTGCACAGCACTTACCAGCCATTCACATTTCAAGTTACTGGAGTCAGATCATGAAAGTAGAGCTAAAGGCAAAAGGTTTTTTTTTTTTTCTTAATTCTAGAGGAAGTGAAGGTTGTAACACTTGTCAGTGTGTGTGGTTTTGTTTTGTTTTGTTTTTGTTTTTTTTGTTTGTATGCATTTTTCTGTGTTCCATCAGGGAAATTTTCCTTCACTTTCTGTCTCTTAGCCAAAACACGAAGTGAGGAAATCCCTCCAAAGTGAAAGAATCCTTGGCTGTCACCTGGACTAGTTTCCCCACTGGAAGATTTCCCCTCCTATTACTGTTCTGGGGTCTGGGAACAACCCCACAAATTGGATTTTATCATTGAAAGTAAAAGAAAATCCAGACATTAGATAACAAGTCTGTTTGCTTATCTTTCCATAGGTAGAATTTGGGGTTGTGTACAGTTGTGTAGAAGACAAAATGTACACTGGCAGAAAAGGAAAAGGAGCCTTTTGTAATGGTCAGAAATTGCAAGTGTCTGGACAGAAAGGTAAGCATCTCCCCAGCTTCTCAGAAGTGTCTCAAACCAATGTCAAGCTATTGCCATTAGCACAAGCCTGTAGCCTAATAACATATGCCCTAAAATCTTTTTTTTTTTTTTTTTGCTTTGATAAAGGAAATCTGGTAGACCCAGAATGAAGGTCACCACAGTCATATTACAGAGGTAACCTGAGTTGGTGCTAACAGCAGGAAGCAAATATACAGGCAGGGAGGTGACCAGAGACAGGGGGACAGAGTACTCCATTCACAGTATAGGGTGGTTCAGGGAAATCAGACACCATCAGATACATTAGGAAAACACATACAGTTAAAGTGGAGCTCCGGCCAAAAGGGAAAGTTCCACTTTTAAGTACTGGTCCCCTGCTCCCCATGAGGAATTGAGACCTTTGGGGAGTCGATACACTTTTTTTGACAGGTTCCCACTTCTGCTGCGACCGCCTAGGCAGATGGAAGTGGAAGTTGTTCTCTTACATCAGTATATATTATATTATTATTATTATTATTATTATTATATATTTTTTTTTAAAGCAAAAGCGTTTTTTTTTTAAATTGTTAGCAGTGTCAGTGTTTTTAGGTAGGATGAAAAAAAAACAAAATGCGCACTATTGTTTCTGGGCCCTACTACGGGTATAAATAACAACTAACGTGGTATCCCTGTGATTTGTCAGGAGCAGGAGAATTTATTTTGGGTTGTTCTTTGATGGTAAATTATGATAATAGCAAAAAATATACCACTAAATTTATTAAAATAAGATTTGGGGCCAGTTTTCCTTTTGCCATTTTACCACCAAAATAGAGCCCAATTTATCCTGGAAAAAAATAAGGTATAATCCACCTGGATACACAAAGTAGTTGCAATGATGTGTACAGTTTACTACCAAATGTCACACAAGTTGCAAAATAGTGTTTAGGCATTAAGATTTGTTTTATCCTCAATCACTAGGGGGTTAAGTAACAATAGTCATAGGGAAGACAGAGATCCATCTAATAGACTCAGTCATACACTGTAAAGTACAACAGCCCCCTCACATGCTGAAGCCATAAGCATATACTAGGTGTGACCGTTCAATTCCAGGAATGCCTGCGGCGTAGCACTATGGTGGTGAGACTCGAAGCCATTCACACTCAAGTTTGTTCTGACATGTTCTAACTTGCACTCACCTTGGTGCAGACCAGTTGCCTCATTCTCTATAAAGTAGTAGAAGAAAAAACATATACGTCCATTGCACTGTTGGCGGGAAATGAGTGACAGGAATCTGGAACTGAATAAAGGATAAGTTCACCTCTTGACCAAAAATAATAAATGCACATTTTTTTGCAGATAAAAAAAAGTGCATTTATTAATTTTAGTTGCTGGAGCCTGTAAAGCATTGCACCAGCGATCAGTAGATGCGGCAACAGCATTGGGAACATGTTACATTTCCACCCCAAACATGGGTGAAACATGTAAAATTTTCCCAAAAGGTGAAATTATCCTTTCACATTGCTTGAAAATTGGCAGAAGTGCAAGTGAAACTTAAGATCTGTTACAACAGGTTTATGGTGAACATTCCATGAAGAAATCAAGTGTTTTTGCATTGCAAAGGCAGGGAAGATGTCCATGATGATGGCAAGAAGTGGGCATCCAAAATGCAAAGAATGGTTGCACATGTGCACAGAGTGTGAACTCTCGTACGCTCAGATCAAAGACTGAGTGTGCAAATGATGGCAAAGGAACTGAATATGAACAGGAAAACCGTGCAACAGGTTCTCACAGGATTTGGGAATAAGAAAGATTTCTGGAAAGATGGTGCCTCGAATCATGAGGGTGTTTGAGACATATAATTTGTTTTAAATTTTTTTTTACAGTCCTTTCTGGGAATTTCAGGAGTCCATTCTGCCACGTATAATTGTAACTAATGCAGAATTGTTTTATATATCATATAGTGGACAGTAACTGCAGTAGCAAATTTTGCTAAACTTTATTGTATGTCTATAGCTGATACGAAGTGCTTTTCTTATTGCAGACCAGGATTCAAACCTGAGACGCAAAGTTCATAAAATGAACTTTTAAGTAGGGATGCTTTTGGACTCCTGATTATTTATTTTTATTTTATTGTGTTTTTTTTTTTTGTTTCGTTTTGTTTTTATTTTTAATCCTTTAGTCAAGTCCCACTTTATATTTTGCAGATATAACTAAATCCATGATTATCACAGAACTTGGATCAAATCGGAACCCAGAGGTCATTAAAATTATTCTATCCAACATGGAGAGACTGTTGTGTATTCCAATCCATGGGTAACTTACAACATAGTATTACAAGTATTGTGAACATGCTGTATTCTCTTTTACATATGTCTTCTTTTTTTTCTTTATAATGGTCCAAATTGGTAGAAAGTGTATCAGGTTGATTGTTGTGATCTCCTACTGATTGTGATTGTGATTGCAAATAGAACAGTGACGTTCTTTAACACTGCTTTGCTCTGACTAGATATTTAAGTAAAGTTGTACTTATTAATAATAAAAACTATGTATTGGTTTGCCTACCCCACGCCTATCTATTATACTCAAACTTACATACTCTTATCAGTAAATTGTTTGTCCTAGTCCCTTCCTGATAGCTTTAAACGCATTTTTGTAAATATTTTATTCTATCTTTTCATGTGACAACACTGGAGAAATGACACTTTGCTACAATGTGAAGTAGTGAGTGTACAGTTTGTATAACAGTGGACATTGTCACTTAGGGGTGTACTCACTTTTGTTGCCAGCGGTTTAGACATTAATGGCTGTGTGTTGAGTTATTTTGAGGGGACAGCAAATTTACACTGTTATACAAGCTGTACACTCACTACTTTACATTCGTAGCAAAGTATCATTTCTTCAGGGTTGTCACATGAAAAGATAGAATATAATATTTACAAAAATGTGAGGTGTGTACTCACGTGTGTGAGATAGAGATTTATATGACATATGCACACACACACATATATACATACGTGTTCTTTTATGTGACAAACCATGGCTCCCTGCATAGATGCTATTTGAGGAATGAGCATAGCAATCCTAAAAGAGAAAGGGTGCTATTAGCAGGATTACTAGACATAAATAAAGAGATAAGAAAACAAATGTGGCCACCACATCTAATGACTGTTAAGCTGCAATATATAAAATTTGTGTCTTTAGGTTTCGATTTTTATGATTTTACTTTGTTTTAGTATCTAAGGTGCCACGATCCTTTCAATTAATATTTAAGTATGCGGCATAATGCTTCTCCTATGCAGGATCCGTGCAGTGGGCACAGCAGCTGTGAACATGTGTCTGGTAGCTACTGGAGGAGCTGATGCATATTATGAGCTGGGGATCCATTGCTGGGATATGGCTGCAGCATCGGTTATAATTACAGAGGCTGGTGGAGTCATCCTGGATGTGAAAGGTTTGTATCCTCTATCAACAGTAAGTTAGTTACTTTTCAATACGTAAAGAAAAGAAAATTAGTGGCTTATATTTTCAAAGTACTATATAATCTACTTCCAAATTTTAATGAAATGTCATCCAGAAAACAGGAGCCATGGTAGGCATGGAACTCGTATACTATATTTACAAAATACTTGGTGCACAATACATGAATGCAGTAAGTGGATGGCTTTTTCATCTGAAATTTTAAGTTGTATCCAGCTTCCATTCTAATAAGTACTGGTTCAGTCTACATGATGGCTGTCTTCCTCCACTTCCATTGATGGCTCTGTCACATCTCACCACTCTGGTTCTTGATTTTACAAGTCATCTGCAAAAATGTTGGAGTATCTCCAGAAAACGTTTGCAAAATCAACTGTAAAACTATGCAACTGTGCTACAAATTGTAGCTTCAGCTTAAAGCGGTAATTAAACTAAACTCAAAAGCAAAATTTTTTTATACTTCAGCTTACCATTTCTTAGATTTTTTTTTTTTAGGCTTGCTTTCTTTTATTCCACCTGGTGATCTGGCCAATAAATTTAATGGTTTTTGTCAGAACAAGCTGTCCTGCAGATGTAGCATTTTTAGAGGGTTGAGGCAAGCAATTTACCACTTACAGGTGCTTACAATGTTCAACTTTTATTTATTTATGTGAAACCTTTATCCCAAGAGGAAAAAAATTTTAGTGTTACTAAACCCACAACAGTAAAATCAGTCTGTATATGCAGTAAAGCTTTCTTGTTATATTCACTGCGGAACCTAAGGGGTTAATCCTCTGCATTGTGTAAAAAGGCTGTTGATCCTGACTTCTTTGCCCCCTCCTCTTGTTCAAGTGTCCACGCTGATAAGACAGACTGAACCAGTAGCCCTGCTGCACATGCTCAGTTTAGTGTGTATTGCTAGAGAGGGTTTTTTTTTTTTTTATTCTTGGGAGAGTGTGATCAACACAGGGCCAATCAGCACTGTCCAGACAGAGGTCAGGGTTTTGCATCCTCCTGGAGCAGAAAAAACACCTCCTTCTAAAAGCTTTAACCAGTGCTCAGCTGAAGTCATAAGACTGCTCTAACTGCTGATGAGAAAAGGTATTTAGCAGTTTATATTTACTAAAATTGCATTTCCATGTTCTGTGTACTGTGGGAGACCAGATATAGTGAATGCAGAGTCCGGGGTTTAGTAACACTTTAATATTTCTGTTTAAAAAAAAAAGTAACAAACTGAAGCCAAACTCCAGTTCACAGTGTGTTTTTAACCATTTCCCGTCCAGCCCATGTACATAAACGGCCGGATGGGAGCAGTGTAGGAGTGGGTTGCCGTTCATAAATGGCGCCCGCATTTACAGCCTGTGCACGTTTCCTGGGAGCGCGCAGCACCAATCGCTGTACAGGACCTCTATGTGAAGTCCCGATTCATGCGATCACTGATTGGCTAATCAGTGATCACATGAATTGTAGTAAGCAAGATGTCACTTCCTGACATCATTGCTCACTACTTGTGAAATCTGTGAATGATCACAGAGGTCACACGGTACAAAGCTATTCACAACAGCCTTGTACCATGTGACAAGCTATGACCAATCGCAGCTCTCACAGTACTTCTCAAGTAGTGCAGTGTCACTATGGTGACACCGTACTGCTAGGGTGACTGTATGTTAAAACCAAAAAAAAGAAAACATAAATATTAAAAATGTGAAAATTATAATTTTTGGTTATAAACTAATTTGGGTTATTATTTTACTAAAAAGATAACTGAATACATTTTGGCCAAGATTTATGAAGAAAGATTATTTATTTGCAAAATTTTATAAGAAAAACACTTTTTTTTTTTTTTTTTTTTTAAATGTTTGGACTTTTTTATTTATATAGCAAAAAAAATTAAAATTCCAGTGGTGAATAAATACCAACAAAATAAAGTTTTATCTGTCTAAAAAAATTTATATGGGTACAGTGTTGCATGACCGTGCAATTGTCATTCAAAGTGTGATGGCACTGAAAGCTGAAAATTGGCCTGGACAGGAAAAAAGTGTCTGGACTTAAAGTGGTTAAATCTGCTAGTGCGTCTAACACTCCCCTCTTCCCAGATTGACAGTACTGCTGTTCAAAGGTGTCTCTTTCACTTCTTCATCCAAACTGGGGGCACTTTAATACAGGAGGTGTGTTACTGGCCAGATTACCAGGTGAAAACAGAGGGAAAAAAGAAAACTAATGCAGCCATCACATGTAATGATTGGTAAGCTGCAATACATTACATTTTTGGGTTTGGGATTATATTTTTTTTTAATTTTTGCTATTGCTTATCAGACTTTGTATAGCTTTGGTGTGAACATTTGATTACCTGTAAATGACAATATTCCCATTGTACACGTTTCTGAACTAGACCTAAAGGTAGTGGGTGCTGCTGGAGACAAATATCACAGATCTGTGCACATATTTTGCCAGTACACCAAAGATCTTCAAATAGTGTCCAGAAGGTTATATTCAAGAATGACCACATCACAGTGGAGAAGTACAATGGTTCAGGGCTGCACAGGAGCCCTTCATTAGTCATTTGATGAATCACATGTCTGACACATCCTGCATGGCCCCCGAAATGTTGCAATTTTCTATTAAGATGTGATAATTCGTGAATAAATCCTTTTGGATGCTATTTGAAGATCCACAGTGTGCAGGAAAATATGCAAACTGAGCACTCAGTTGCTTGTCTTGTGATTCCGTGTTGTGCAGCCTACCTCTCATTCTGCATTTTTGAGATGGCAAGGCTGTAGTTGGCTGATGCAGTATATTGCTTAGAACCAGGAATCGCCTAGACCTACAGTGGGGATCGAAAGTTTGGGCACCCCAGCTAAAAATTTGTATTAATGTGCATAAAGAAGCCAAGGAAAGATGGAAAAATCTCCAAAAGGCATCAAATTACAGATTAGACATTCTTATAATATGTCAACAAAAGTTAGATTTTATTTCCATCATTTACACTTTCAAAATAACAGAAAACAAAAAAATGGCATCTGCAAAAGTTTGGGCACCCTGCAGAGTAAATATCTTGTACTGCCCCCTTTGGCAAGTATCACAGCTTGTAAACGCTTTTTGTAGCCAGCCAAGAGTCTTTCAGTTCTTGGTTGAGGTATCTTTGCCCATTCTTCCTTACAAAAGTCTTCCAGTTCTTTGAAATTTCTGGGCTGTCTGTCACGCACTGCTCTTTTAAGGTCTATCCATAGATTTTCAATTATGTTGAGGTCAGGAGATTGTGAAGGCCATGGCAAAACCTTCAGTTTACACCTCTTGATGTAATCCCCCGTGGATTTCGAGGTGTGTTTAGGATCATTATCCATTTGTAGAAGCCATCCTCTCTTTAACTTCTGCTTTGTCACAGATGGCATCAAGTTACCATCCGAAATTTGCTGAAATTTATTAAATCCATTTTTCCTTCTACTCGTGAGAGTTTCCCTGTGCCACTGGCTGCAACACAACCCCAAAGCATGATTGATCCAACCCCATGCTTAACAGTTGGACAGAGGTTCTTTTCATTAAATTCTGTGCCCCTTCTTCTCCAAACGTACCTTTGCTCATTCCGGCCAAAAAGTTCAATTTTAACCTCATCGGTCCACAGAACTTGTTTCCAAAATGCATCAGCTTGTCTATATGTTCATTTGCAAAGTTCAAACGATGATTTTTTGTGGTGAGGACGTAGAAGAGGTTTTCTTCTGATGACTCTTCCATGAAGACCATATTTGTACAAGTATCTCTTTATAGTGGAATAGTGTACCACAACTCCAGTGTCTGCCAGATCTTTCTGGAGGGATCGTGCAGTCAAACGTGGGTTTTGAATTGTTTTTCTCACAATCCTGCGAGCTGTTCTGTCTGATATTTTTCTTGGTCTTCCAGATCTTGCTTTAACTTCCACTGTTCCTGATGACTGCCATTTCTTAATTACATTCTGAACAGAGGATATTGACATCTGAAAACGCTTTGCTATCTTCTTATAGCCTTCTCCAGCTTTGTGAGCGTCAACTATTTTCAGTTTCAGTTTTCTAGACAACTGCTTAGAAGAACCCATGGTGCTGATTGTTGGGGCAAGGTCAGATGAGTCTGGGCATTTAAAACCTTTGAGATTGACATCACTTGGTCTTCCCAGACAATGATTGAGAACAATCCATGACACTGGCAGGTCTCAGCTTTGCAAAGGGGGCAGTGCATGCTATAAATTCTGCAGGGTACCCAAACTTTTGCAGACGCCATTTTTTTGTTTTCTGTTATTTTGAAAGTGTAAATGATGGAAATAAAATCTAACTTTTGTTGACATATTATAAGAATGTCTAATCTGTAATTTGATGCCTTTTGGAGATTTTTCCATCTTTCCTTGGCTTCTTTATGCACATTAATACAAATATTTAGCTGGGGTGCCCAAACGTTCGATCCCCACTGTATATTATATATTTTTGCAAGGCACAGATTCAGATATTGGAGCCTCTGCATAAACTGAAGACCAAGATGCAAAATAGAGGAGCCTTGCAGTAAGACTGCATTCTGTCTTAGCTTGATATGATATATATAAAAAAAAATGACCCATTTTGGCCAAAAAACTCCCAATAATACTATTTCAGTAAATGCCTTAAAACAGTGGTCTCCAAACTGCGGCCCAGGGGCCAGATGTAGCCCTTTGCTTGCTTTTATCTGGCCCTTTCAGATTTTTCTTCCACTGACACCAACAATAGGGCAAAATTTCCCCCCCCCCCCACCTGACACCAATGAAGGGGTGCCATTCCTCCCAATGACGCCAAAGATGGGGCACAATACCTTCCAATGACACAACAATGGGGCACAGTTCCTCTCATTAGCACCAAAAATGGGGAATTGTTTGCTCCAACTGATACTGGAACATTTTCTATTCCTCATCCACAGTCCAGCCCCCCTAATGTCTGAAGAAAAGTAAACTGGCCCTTTGTATATAAAGTTTGGAGACCCCTGCCTTAAACAACAAGGAATTGTGTTTGCCTCAGTATCCTCTGTATGTTATAACTGAACAGGTCTGAATCAGAAACCAGGTGAAGGTGGGCTTTAATTTCCAATTTTGACTTGAATATATATTTAAGCAGAGCAGGCACAAATGATTCTGACTTCAAAGATTTGCTAAATTGCATATTAAAAGATCTCCAGATTTAATAAAAACTTATAATATTATTCATAGGGTACATTTTAGATATTAGGCGTTCTGCCATTAGAACTTTAAAAAAACGTTTATTTTGGCAGACGTTTTTGAAAAATAATGGTTAACAGGTCCCCTTTGCTCCTGGATGTCCACAGGTGAATAACTCTTACACTACATTCTATAGCAGAGAGAGCTGAACAGGTAAAACCGATCTAGCCAGTCAGGCAACAGAAGAGCTGTGTTGTCTAGAACAGACATTTGACAGATGGGGGCAAGCTGATCTGAGCTCTGTTTTGTGGCTTTGAAATGCAAAAGGGGGGGGGGGGTTTGTTAACCCCAATGTATTTGAAAAGTATTGCTCTATTTTAATGACTGGAGTATACTTTTTTAGTTTTACAGTGTATTTTTTTGTATGGGTTTCTATTTGTGCAAACTCATTCCATCTTGTGTTTCAGGGGGACCATTTGACCTGATGTCTTGTAGAGTGATTGCAGCCAGCAGCACAGAAATTGCAGAGAGAATCTCCAAGGAGCTCCAGCTCATACCATTAGTTCGGGATGATGCGTAGAAAGCGTGGATCAATTTGTTGGATACACTAATAACTTTGCACTCTAGAGTCACTCAGGTGGATATGCCGCCTCTATATGCAACCACATCAGGGTTTTACCGCCTTCATTTTTTTAAATGACTTTTTGTCAAATATTTGACAATATTATTACTGTTAAGATAATTATTATTGTTACTTTGTCATTTCTATTTGTCAGTCACAAATGCAACAAGGGCCAGCAAGTAAGAACAATCTGGAGATCTGTAAATTACTTGACATGACTTGCACAGCTTTCATGGGTTATGATTCCATTGTATTTTAAATGATATTAGTTGTTAATGTTTTCAAATGATAGTAGTTTGTTTATTTGCATTATATCTGTTTAAAGTGAATGGTTATGTCATGCTATAAAAGTTTCAATGAATTTTACTGTGTTCACATTTACTGTTTGTTTTTCTGCAATGTTGGTGTGCCATTACTAGAAAGCATGTGGCTGAAAAAGAAATACAAGAACTTAGAGAGCCACTTCCTGCTCTCAATTGACTATATGCAATGACACTCCTGTCCAAAGTGAAATCTGGGAGATGCCTTTTATGTATTGTGCTAAATTAATCTATAGATCTGTGACTGCTACTTTCTTCACTCTGTTCTGTTCTGTTCTGTTCTGAACTTACGGTGTTAAGCATCATGGTTTTCCACTGTCCCTTTTAGCTCCCCTCCAGCTGCAGATTGGTGGGTGCTGTGACATTGATAACCTTGCTAGTCATCTGCCTGAAAGGTACCATTAAATGGTCTGAAGACACCACTTCTTGGAGCTATATGAAGTTCATTCAGGGGTTTATGTTTATATACAGAACATCTTCATGTGTAGCAAATAGCAACAGTACATTGATACATGTTATTTATTTGTTACATTATGTACATAAGCTAAGTTTAAAAAAAACAAATTTAAAGAATGCTTTGCTTCATTATTATTTGTGAGTTGGACACTTCTATTTAACTTCTGTGTTGCCCCTAGCTCAGCTGTAATACCCACACTGTTTGGGTTGCTGTATTTGTTGATCAAAATTAATGTTAACTGGTTAGCACAGATGCTGATCTCTAATGACCAGACAGTAAGATCCCTTTCCTCTGAAATCCCCAGTTCTGTTGATGATCAGAAAATCTCTTTTACTTAGGGCTCATGTACACTGCAGCTGATAAACTCACGTTTAGGAGCTGTTCAGCGTTTGTTTTCAGCAGCCCCTGAACTCGCCCTAATGTTTTCCTATGTGTCCATGTACACCTCTTCGTTTACAGGCAGTTGAGTGTACAGACGTTTTTTTTTTTTTTTTTTTTTTTTTAAACGCAACAATCTTGCGTTCAGACGTCAATTTTATTTTTTTCGTTCAACCCAGTGGGCTGAATGATAAAGAAACTGAGGAGCTTGCTGTACTAACTATGCAATATTCGTACAGTGATCTCCCCGCTGAGCTATTGTGCCCTAACAGGGGGACTGCAAACGCTGATCGGATGGTGGTCTTTCAGACTTTACAGGCTGTTGTAAACACTGGACAAACATCAGCCAGTTTCTGTTGAACTGGCCACATTTGGCCTGTGTGTACCAGCCTTTAGACTGTTGTGTTCCTGTAAAGCCCCATATTGCACAAAATTGCCAGAAGTCATTACCAGACATTCAGCAAAGCCATTCTGGATATGCCACATCATGCTATGTGGATGGTGGAATCCAGATTCTGATCTGTACTCCGGAATAGAGATGAGCCCCACGCTCATCTTTAACATGAACTTCAACTCCCATTTTTTTTTTTTTTTTTTTTTTTTTTTTTTTTTTATTCCAGTGAGATGCATGTCTGGTCATTCCCACCCCCTCAGCTCACATGATCTACAGGGTGAGGAAGGACCCAGGTCACAGCTCATTGTGAGTGCAAAAAAAAAAAAAGCAGGAGTTCAGGTTAGAGATTAGTTTGGAAGTCCAAGTTCATCTCTACTCCTGGAATCCCTCCCATCTCTTACACAGTTCTTGCCAATATATAGATGAGGCCAGCTATATATCCCTACTTTTATTCCAAGAGGAGCTGGGCAGAGTCTTACAGTGATTAATGTAATCTGATGGTTTCAGAATACTATATTCGAGGTCTACCTAGGTGAAATGTGTTATTCAGAGACCTTTATGTTCACAAATATGTATAAATAAACCTTTTTATCACAAAGTTCGCAGTTCAGTTTCTGCTATATAACATTACATTTTATTTTACATTATTTGATCTGAACAAGAAATTTTACAGTATGCAGTACAAGTGGTAGTAAACACGGTAAAAGTTTTTTTCCTCTTGTCTGCCTAAAGTGACTACATACACAAACAATATAGTTATATATTAAGTTATTCTTACATATAAATAATAAAAGGAAAAAGCAAGTGTTTAAATGTAACACATTCATTTGGTGGCTCAGTCCTTTTCATCTCTACATCTTTATTTACAATACAATAATATTTTCCTAGCATTCTCTCCCACGTGAATAGGGTAGGGAAGGATATTGCTGTCTTTGTTCCTATTGGCAATACTTCTTTCCAGCCAGATGACCAAGTGAGATAGATCTGCCCAATGGGTACTGAGGAAGCAGAAAAACACTGACAAGTTCTACTAAATAAATAATTACTTTTTTGATCCCAGTGAGATTTCCCTCATTTCCTGTCCCTGTAACCTACAAGTAGGACAAATCCCTTATCTTGCTGACATTACATCTAAAACATAGTTCAGTTTTCTACTACTGTATCTCACCTGGCTGGGCACATAATGACACAAATTGATATATTTGTTAATAAAGTTGAAAAAACAAACCAACTAGTAGTTTTGCTGCTGTTATAACATACAGAGATATATAGTTGCCTGAATAGTACATTTTAAGGGTAGTTGCAGGCTTACATTCGTCCAGATCAAGGACACCAACATCAAGTTTTGGGCAAGACTGTCATTTTATATTTTTTTTAATTATTAATATGATATTGTGCATTCAGATTATTCTCCTTCAGAATGAAGTTTTGTTGATCATAGTGAATGTGCGTCTATTAGTTCTTAGGTGAAGTCACCTGTGTGTTAGGCACTTTTGCTGCTATGTGAACGCTTTAGACTCATTTTGATTTGGGTACACAAATAATGGTATGTCTTGCTTTATTTTCTGAAAGACAAATACAAGGTCTTGTTAAAAACAGACAAAACCGTAGGTGCTTATTCATTCAAGTGATACCAAATAATACAAATTTGCAGGTTAAAGTATAAAAGATGTTATACTTACCTGCTCTGTGCAAATCCAACATTACCTCTAAAACCACAAAGACGGGAGACACAGTCCTACTACCCTGAGTTCTTTCAAGCTATCATGCCCAGTAGACCCCTCTACAAGACTCCGCACCTCTCTATCTTATTCCTGACTAAATCTGGTGAACTGCAAACAACCACCCAAGTTCCAGATCAAACTGGAAGACTCCTTGCAGACATAATTTTCAGAATAATGGGATAGGATTTATTTACTAACCCATACTGTAAATATTCCATTAGCACCAGAATCTAAAAATGTCATATAAACCTCTTACACATTTGTATGCTATACCAGAAAAGCTACAGACCTCCTCCTGACTGTGACAGATAAATGCTGGCACCGGCTATGTGGCTCCATCCTACAAATGTGTTTGGAATGCCACCTTATCCAACTCTTTTGGCCTGACATCCCTGATATAATAACTGGAGTTTCTGGAAGAAACATAAGCAATTACCACAGAAAACCCTCCCAAAACCTTCAGACAAACCTGGAAATACTGGATTGCCTTCAAGTACTGTATTGTTACTGTACTGTCTCCCTCCATAATGTAAAGCGCTGAGCAAACTGTCTGCGCTATATAATTCATGTATAATAATAATAATAATAATAAAGTAAACATTCACCTATAAATCACTAACGTAGGAAATTCACAATCATCAATGACAATTTATACTTCTCTTGATGAAGTATAAACTTTAGCTGGTACTGTTCAGTCTTCTTTTAGCTCTCCCCTCACCCCCTTTTTTTTCCCCCCTTTCTCCTCTTTTCACCATCCCTTTCTCTAAAGCTTGTCATTCTCCCCCACTCCCTTCCCTATTTTAGCTCCGATCAACCCCACTCATTCACTCACAAAATTCCCTCTCAGTACTTTCTTACTTCTTCGTGGCTTGCCAAAAGAACTCACCCTCCTATTTTGGCCCACAGAGTAATAAATCCCTGAGAACCTGCTGTTTCTGAAGTGTTCCCAATTTATTTCCCGCAATATTGAAGTTTATCCTTCATCTGAATACTCCCCACCCCCTTTTACCCTTCCGTGGGGCAACTAGCAAAAGGGACAAACCTAAATATTATAGTCAATCAGGTATTAAAGATCATATTGGCTGTATTTATTTAATACTTGACAATGATCTATAGTCCTACTATGTATGTGTAGAACAACTTGTATTTCAGAAAGGCCTTTCCCATTTCTGAATTCCAATTCTAGCAAGTACATACTATGTACAATAATGTTCCCCAGCATCTCTTTGGATGCCCATGCTGCCACTTTATCTCTGCCATCCAATCATCATTTTGCATAGTCATCATTTTGCATTTTGCACATCTCAAGACATGCTAGGCATGCCATCTTTGATACAACTCGTCTACCAGAATGCCTAGTGTCTGCAAAATACTTCAGGGAGTTTGAACTGGCAAGACCATTGATGATGCCAACTCTAAGGGCCAGTTCACATTACATGCGTTTTTAGTGTGTATTTTTCTGCATCCAAAAAACACAGAAATTAGGTGATATGGTTGTCAATGTCATAGTTCACATCAGTGCTTGCAGTTACAATGCGTTTCAGATGCAGAAAAAAAAAAGTAGAACAGGCTACATTTTTCCTGCACAGAACTGTACTGGAATGCAGTAAACCTAATCAAAAACGCTGCAAAAACATACTGGAATGCCAATGTCCCTATTTACCCTGAAGAAAAAAAGAGGGGAA